ATTTTAAAGAAACTGACTGTGAAGGTCCAAACTGGATTTATATATAATAAGGGAATGCGCACAATGTGCATAGAGTAATTGTTTTTTTTTATTAATGACTGTATTTGGTTATTGATGTGGTTAAGTTTTTGCATATGGTAATGGATTTATATGGATGATGATAAGAGCCATTGGTGGGCTGTTGTAAAACTGTAGTGAACCTTTGGTTGAACCACACATGGGAAATTTCTTGACTGCCAATTTTATCCAAAGTCACTGCTCCATTGAGTATGTTAGTTATCAAGGAACAGAAAGAAGTCAACCTGCATTCACTAGGTGCCAGCACTTGTTCTTGTATTAACCTGACAATTAAAGGACTGCTATATTTCCTTTTGTAACAACACCTGAACTCAGCTTTTCCCATTCCAATTTCAAGGTGGACAGTGCAAGTCATTCTCCTGGGCCCAACACTGTCACAGCTTTCACACTTGATTTCTTTAAAAGTTCCACTTTTCTGGATTCCTGCCCTATGCCAGCCATTTTAGAATTTCTTGAAGATTTCTTCATGAGCAACACATATTTGTCACTAAACATCTTCATATGTTGTCAGCAGTCACAAAGCATTGTGAACTGCAATTCTTAGTAAAACGGGGCAGGGGGACTAATAAAGATCAAAACCTCTGTTTTTGATCCAGCAATGAAATTAACACTAAAAGGATCTGAAATGAGCTGACCTGTCAACTGAAATATGCTGCCAATATTTTCTCTCTTCTCTATCATATTTTCATCATACGAATTACAAGTATCTGAGAGGAAAATATGATAGTTCACAATCCTTCAATCATTTATTTACATCAGGTGCAATGAGACTGGCTGAGATCATCCAATGATTGTGACCCATGAGTTCCACATCTTCTGTCACTCAACTTAGAGGTTTACACAGAATATTTTAAGAAACTGGTATTATGTAGTTTAACTATTTTCTGCACTTCATGAGATGGTATTATAACATTGTACAGACCAGTAAAAGTAAAAAGTAAGGTATCCCTATAACAGGCTGTGGAGGCCCATAGGGTTGTGAGATGTTGAGGTTCCCACATTTTCTAGACAATCAGCTCATAGATGGCGGTAAGGTTGTCAGCCTTGCGTGCTGGCCGCCCTTTACCCCCAAGAATATTCATGGTACTTATTTCTGTTAGAGGCTGAGTTGACCCCAGGGACATAGTGCAGCTGGAAGGATTAGGTAAATTAAAAAAAACCACCTAATCAGGATTCGATCCCGCGACCTTACGGTTTGTATCATAGTGCCTCAACCAACTACGCTACAGCGTGCCTCCTATACAGACCAGTACTTTATTGTTGTTCAAGAGGAACCAGGTTTGAATCTTGACCAGACTCTGCCTTTACTGAGATTCTTAATGGTTTTACTTAGTCTGTCCAGAGGAATTCTGGGACAGCACATTTAAACAGGCTCGGAGAGATTCTTTGCAAATCCTTACATAAGAATTGTAACCGTCCTTACCTCACCTTCACTCCCCCCCTTGTTGATTGGTTAGTCACGCGTTGTTCGTCGCTCCTCTCCTTCTTTCTTCTTCTTATTCTTAGGTTGGGCGCCAGTAAGCTCAGGTGGTGTCGGCTTACAATAGTCGGAGGTTTATTTTGGAAAGGGGGTGAAGGTGATAGTCAGCTAGTTCAGCTGTGGGTAGAGCTGGGATCCTTCTCAGAGCGTTTGCTAGGGCCTCGCTTAGGACGGGGAGGGAAGTAGTTGGTTCAATGCTAATTAACACTTAAACACTGTGACCATTTATTGCGATCAGCACTTCCCTTCACCTGATGGCACACACAGTCAATACAAAGGATGCTTATATGTAGGTCCTTGTCTAGCACAGTCCTGGTATAACGGACGTTATTATCACAATTTACACTTTCTTTAGCACTCTGAACTTGGTTATACAGAACAGCGAAAAACACAGATTTGTTCCGAATTATTTACGAGTAGCAGGCACTTGCGACTGTTGGCAACTGTTTGTCAACTAACTTGTGACTCTTTGTCTGAAAAACACTGAGGTCCCCTGGACGTCAGTTCCTCTGCTAAGTCACTCCCCTTAATTCCACTGATTGGGTAATTTTGAGAACTGGGGTTTACACAATTTCTGAATCTCCAATCAGCTAGCTGCAATTTGGGGCTTTGAACCTTAAAGTCCTAACATCGTTTTTGACAGTACACTGACAGATAACCTGCTTGGCGTGGGCTTCAAAACCGCCTACTTTTAAGTTACGACGTGCAGGACCTGTCAGTGATCGAATTCTCAAAGTTTGCCGCCGTGCTACTCACAAACAAAATTTCTCAGAAAAAGCCACAGGGGGTGTTTCCTGTGTAACATCAAGATTTGGAATAAGTCCATTCCTGAAAACAAGAATGTGACTATGTCCCACTGGCTTTGGTATTACTTGTTACCTGCACTTAATTTTTATTACCGGTTATTCTAATTATTAAATTGGTGAGTGACAGTGGAGCGGTTACAGAATATGTTCCAAATTAATTCAACACTATGTACCCTATGCAGGTGAAACCCAAAAATCAAATTTCATGAGGCATGTGTGAGTCTCAAATTTTCAAGACTGAATCAAGAAATAAATTCTTAATCTCAACTTGAACATTAATTTTTCATTCTCAAACTTCAGGAATTTTTGGACAGCTGCTTTCACTTTGCATGCTGTTATGCCAGAAGGGATCAATATATTTTCCTGAATGAAGATGGACCCTCCCATCCATATGGGGGGGTCTCATTTCATTCATTTTTATTTTATCCTGTAGATCAAAAGACATTGATATGGGACATCAACTTAGAAGCCACAAGGCTGCCTGAAGTAACATCAGAGGTATAAAATAAAACGGCAATTCACCTATTCACAACCTAGAGATCCTGTGTCAACAAGCATCACTGAACATAAAAGTGGCAAGTCATGTCAAGAAAATAAATATTTGTGTGAAGAAGAATAATGTGTCATGAAGTACCAAATGCCACAGTAATGGTTCACACTTTAAGAAAGTGGTGATTAAACATGCAAAACGACTGTAAAGAGGCAAGAAAGTACAGCGTCTCCCAAAGCAAACAATGGAAAGGGGAAACAGACACAGAAACTTGCTAATTCTATATGAAAATTGTTATTTGTACAGACTCAAATACAGAATGGATTGTCAGTCTTGTGTGACATTACTCAATGAGAGGCTGAAATTCTAGGTCCACCTCAAGGTGCCATGTACAAATAACACAAAGCAATGGGTTTTATTCATAGTGAAGGTCTTCACTTTGCAATAAGCTATCAACACAATTTGATGCACTGTTGATGAATGCCAGTGCATTTCAATATGCCACCTAATTACACCAATGATGATGTAGGTGCAAAATCTGAAAAGATGCGACTAATGTTGACCAAATTAGCAGACAGCAAAAGCTACCACATGTGCTAGTGAACTGAAAGAACTAATGTCTAAGGCACAGCTTCCTGTGGGGCTAATAATCATGTCTAACTGAGGGAGAGATGACTAATGAAATGATAAGGGACTGGTTACAAACTGTTTGGAATCACTCACTCACTCATGAACCTAAGCCCTTCTTGATAAGCCGCCAATTCTGCAGCTACTCAAGAACTTCCCAGCATTTTATGGAACCTGAAGGTTCATTACCGTGTTCACAAGAGCCCTCCACTGGTCCCTATCCTAAGCCAAATCAAGTCAATCCATACCATCCCATCCTCTCTGTCTCAGATCCATTTTAATACTGTCTACCTACTTACATCTTGGTCTCCCCAGTGGTCTCTTTCCTTTTGGCTTTCCCACCAATATCCTATATGCTTCCTCTTCTCTCCCATTCGTGCTGCATGTCCTGCCCATCTCATCCTCCTTGACTTGATCATTCTAATTATACTTGGCGAAGAGTACAAGTTATGAAGCTCCTCATGGGGGACAAAGTTGCTCGTGTCCGTGACATTCTTTAAGTCATACGTGTCCCCTGGGTAGTGCAAAATGAACAACAAACCTGGAAAAGCTTCCCAAAAGAAAAGTGCAAACTTCTTCAAGATGCAACAAAGCAAGAACTTAAGTGCTCTCAACTGGGAAGAAAGAAGTGAAATGGGTTAAATGATCCAAAATGCAGCCATTGGAAACCAACCAACCAAGCTGCTCATTATGCAGTTTTCTCTGACCTCCCATCATTTCATCTCTCTTTCATTCAAGTATTCTTCTCAACATCCTGAGTCTATGTTCCTCCCTTAATGTCATAGACGAAGTTTCACACCCATACAGAACCAAAGGAAAAATTACAGTTTTGTATATTCTAATTTTTATGTTTTTAGATAGCAGACAATAAGACAAAAGATTCTGGACTGAATGGTAGCAAGCATTACCCAAATTCAATGTCCTCTTAATTTCCTCATGAATCAGGTTTTGATTTGCTACAGTCATTCCAAAATATCTTAACTGTGCCACATTTTCAAAACATCTATTACCTATCTTTATGTCATAATTTTGCCCACCAACTGAGAAAACATGGAATGCTCGTGCTGGATGCGTCTGAAGGTCATTTAACACTGGATGACAGATCTACAATTCATGCAATGAATCTTGACCGTGTGGCCATACCTGGAGGGATGACTTCCTAACTACACATTCTAGTGAATAAGCTTTTTAATGTTCATTCGAAAAAACTTCATTCTGAGTGGCTCTTGGTAAGGAACTGTGTTCTCACGGAGACACTAAAAAATCCCAGCGTGATACCATTGTGCTATTAGAACAAGATCATGGCAACAGGTCTCTGCAAAAGTGTTGGTCAGGAGATTTAAAAATTGCATGTACATCTGATAAAATGGAAGGGAGCTTGAGGAAGACACTAGGAATGTAGGCAGTCAATATGAGACAAGATGGGAATTGTGTCTTCATCTTGAACTAAGAAAGCAATTCTCACACATGCCCAATCATTAGTGCATAAATTATGCACATGAGAAATAAAACAGCAAGAATAGTGGGAGCAAAATAGCACTTCTTACTTTGTAGATGTATAAGACAAGACATCTGCACAAGTAGACCAAATGACTAGAACACAACAGACATGAACACTGAAAGTACTAATAGAATGATCAGTTTTCTGGACATTATCCATTGTCATGATTTCTATTTGAGATGATGTTTTAGCGACTGGACTCTTTGTCTCCTTCCTCAGGTAAAAAGCCTACTGTGTTGGACCCAATCAAGAGAGCTAGTCTTGCCTCCAGCCAATGTCCATAAAATTCATCATTCTATTAATATACCATCATCACAAACTTTTACATCTTACTTAAAATACTACCCAGTTATATTTCTCAGAAATGATATATGTATAATTACAGAATAACAGATCATACTTCTTATGTCACTACAGAAGAAATATATAAATCATTTTAAGCATATTACATTAAGAAAACAACTTCTTATTAAACTGCGTGACTCAAGATAAGGCTGTTCCCTGGATGTTCACTGATATTTTGGGAACCTAAATCGACCCCTTCATTTTCATCATGAAAAATGTTGTTTCAGCACAATTATGTTAAGGGGGGTTAGGCTACGTCCACTGTAGTCATGTGGGTCATAGCAGGCGATGAAAAGGGAACACAGTGCCTGGGGGGTATAACTGAGCCACCCTGTCACTGAGGGACATAAATACAGTGACCTGGTCCTCCAGTTTGGGGGTTGGATGCAAGGCTGATGACCTTGCCTGTAAAGACATTACTGTTGTGAAATCCAAAGAAGTGAAAACCAGATGGTCTACTTCATGACAGAATAGACAAGTCTGGCAGAATCTTCAAGGAAGGGTAAGGCTTAAAAAGGGCTGTTTTGCCAATGATGATGATAACCTTCTGTCATAAAATTTTATTATACAATGTCATAGCATTATCTTTTCTTTAGAAATTAGGGTCAAAAACTGCATATGTATATATAATATGCTCTTAATAATAGATGGAACTGTTATGTCATAAAAACTGGACAAAACCTTCCTCAAACTAGTGAGTGGGTGACAGTTCAAATTCAGTAGTTCTGCTTTCACACCAATAAGTCTATAAGCATACCATAATTTCGTGACACTTCCTCTGTTTTTCTGAATTCTAGCAGCTTAACAGGTATGTGTTATGTACTATGTATTCTATGCCTACTGAGGTGCATACAGGTACAATCAAAAGCTTGAGCAATGGACCCCGGTTCTGCAGAGGGCCATTTTTGTTCTTCTCTATCAGTTTAGTCAGCATCTGTCTCACCCTCCTACGTGTCATATTATCATGGCGATAAGCATTAGCAGTGCAACCTGTGAATAGAAATTAAAGCGGAATGGTTATTTTACATGAGTAAAAGCTTGTGGAGGGTAAGAAAATGAATTACAAGAATCTGAAAACAAATATTAGAAAATATGAGGGATAAAGAATTTGGGATATTAAATAGTGAGGAATTCCAATGTCATAACTGGGCCCAATGGCAGGCTTTGGTATTAGCAGTGTCAGACCTTTAGGTTCTTGTAAGAGTTGGGTTAAAAGCACGAGTAAATTTATAAAGTACAGATATAAGTGAGTTTCTTCTTGCGACACAATCTGAATGCACACTTCATTAAAAAATGACATAAGGCAGTATATATCACTCATATTAACATGACCATACAATGCTTTTATCATGTCAAAATGAAACTTTGCAAGGTGTCTGCTATGAAAAACAATTATATAAACAGAAAATAAAATTCTAGCTGCACATCACGATATTTTTGGAAACAGAAGTAGTACTATCTGTTAATAGACACTTCATGTTAGTCATTTAAAATGTAGCCAAAAGGCACAGGAACATACTGCAACAGTTATCTTTGAGGCATATGCCATAGGGGAGCCAAGTGAAGTTTCCGAATCTCAACCAACAGCCACCTGTCCTATAACACATGGGGTGTACCACATCCAGGCATACAGATATACATCATAATCATAAGATTGTTACTGTTTAATACAAAATGAAGCACAACACGTTACTGCATACTAAAAATATCTGAAACATTAATGACTATTACTTGTGTAATCGGGGTATAAAGGGTAGGACATATCTCTTATAACCCCACCTACTTGACCATCAATCTTGCCTTCCCATGGCATACCTTGTTTCAGTGAGTGGCTCTGATCTCTGAGTTACAACACAATAACAGGTGCATTAGCAATGAAGGAAATGCTGGCATACAGAACCTGTCCAGAGGCTCTGAAGGTTAAATGTAGCAATCATTCCACTGAACTACCACCTTCTGAATGGCAACCGATTGGTGGGGGCAGCCAGTAGCATAGCTGGTTAAGGCACTATGCTACAAGCAGGAACGTCATGGGTTCAATTCCTGTCGAGGTCATTGGATTTTTTTCAATTTACCTAATCCTATGGTCCTGGAGTTGACTCAGCCTCTATCACAAATGAATACCAGGAATTTTCCTTGGGATAAAGGGCGGCTGGTGCATAGGGCTGACAACCTTACTGCCATCTGTGAGCTGACTTATCTAGAAGATGTGGGAGCCTTGATGTCCCACAACCCTATGGGCGTCCGCAGCCTGTTACAGGGATAGCTTTATCTTTTTTACTTTTTAACTGATTGGTGAGACTTCTAATTGCTTTCAAAGTATTGCACAAATGGACTTGAACTGAAATCCATGAAGATGACTCCGGCATGAACTGGGAAAAGCAACTGGGTAATAAATGAAACAAAAACAAATATAACTCGTATGAACTAATTTTTAATAAAGTGTGTAAAAAAATCATGATAAATTTCCTGTACTAATCAGTGTATCTTCTCTTGGCCACTGGTTATACTGGTATTATTCCAGGTACTATGGTTGTCACTATTATAATTACTGTAATTTTCAAGATTGGGCTGCAGTTCATCAGCAATTACACGTTTTTCCTCCAAGTATAAGACTGTGATGTGGATGACGCAACGGGAAGTAGGAGTCACGTGAACTCTGCGTTTCCACGAGTGACGTCACGTACCCCCACTCCTATCATTACGCAACGCTCGGTAAACACCCCTTCCCCCGTGGTGACATAACAGAGCAGCAACTGTGTCAGGCAATCATTGCCGTGGTGTTGTCACCAAGGGATACCGCGGCTGCTACACAGCAATAAATAGCTCTTGACAGTGTTGCTAGCAACACTTGTAAACACAGCGTTAGGCAACGGTGGTACTTATTACGTAACTGTTTTCTGTGTTGTTCATGCCAAACACTACTCCTTATTTAGCCTCGGCATGGACAACACCGAAAACAGTTACGTAATAGATACCACTGTTGCCTGACACCGTGTTTACAAGTGTTGCTAGCAATGCTGACGAGAGCTGTTTATTGCTGTGTAGCAACCGCGGTATGCCTTGGTGACAACATCGCGGCAATGGTTGCCTGACACAGTTGCTCCTCTGTTACATCACCGCAGGGGAGGGGGTGTTTACCAAGCGTTGCATGATAATGGAAGGGGTGGGGATATGTGACGTCACTCGCGAAACCACAGAGTTCACGTGACCCCTACTTCCCGTTGCGCCATCCACATCACACTGCTCCCTTCTAAAGGTTGTTCGTCCCGCCTAACGGCGCATCCCCGTTCCTTTTTCTTTGAAGGCTGTGCTTGCTGCGTCTTCTTTTGGTTTGGCTATTCCTCTTGCAGCAACTATTCTCCGGCCATGGATGGCGCAACGGGAAGTAGGGGTCACATGAACTCTGTGGTTTCGCGAGTGACATCACAATACTACTTCACTGTTTGCCAGCAATATTCTTGGTGGAGCTTGCCATGTTTTCCTCTACTAACCAGGGTTGTTTTTCAAATGACATATTTCTCTCCACAGCTAACCTAACCAGAAAACATATATACTTACCATTGGAAAGCTCAGACTTTCCTCTTCAAATCAACATATGACACAGACTTCCACTGACTGGCCCTATGGATACAGTATTACAATATCACCATCCTGACTATATAAATTCTGGTGATCTTCATACAAATATGGTCTGCCACTGTAATTTGCAAGTGGCAGTAGCATGATTAATCTTTTGCATGCCAAGCAGTGCCACAAAACTACCTAGCAGAAACACTAAGGCTGCCTAGGGGTAGATGCAGATGCACAGAAAAACTGACATTTCCTCAGATTAGCTCCAAAGAAACACAAGTATATGTACTACGAAAGCTTGTTCCTTCCTCCGTACATTGACATATCACATTTGATGCCAAGTATCGACAGAAACGATGTGTAAAAGCCATTAACATTAAGCCAATCTTTTCAGCGGTGGCAGTTTACCCTGAGTACACTACACTGTATAATCAGCTCATGACATTCAAAGGGTTAATTCCATGCAGGGATAATTTTATTAACTTTTAAACCTTAATACACAGGGAATGGTAAATTCATAGAAAGACTACTCACCTAACAGTTCAACACCATGATGAGCAGACACTGTCGCAATGAGTTCATCATCGTTCTCATCAATTAGGTACAGTCGTAGCAGAAATCCTAGTTCAACGGGCATCTTCTTCCCTGGACAATATTTGTAAATATAATACATCTCATGGCCACTCTTTGTAAGAGGATGAGGAAATATTTCTCCTTTATTTCTATTTTACTAATACTGATGCTGTCATATCTCAGTCAATAAACTGACTGGTTATGTCATGGCCAGTCAATAAAATCAGCAATTTTTCTCTTCCAAATGGCCAGTCAATAAAATCAGCAATTTTTCTCTTCCAAACTGCATCCAGACTGGAGCCCATCCAATATCCAAACCAGTGGATGCTGCAGGTTCTTATCCCAGGATAATTAACCTGGAGTGTGATGCTGACTGCTTATCTCCATCTACCGCCAAGATTAAGAATACATGGAGCTCTTATTTCCACTCTCCACCTTACATGTTATGGTACTTATATACAGACGCAACTTCATCATTCCAATCTATGAAATAACTGCATAAATAAAATACTATTTCCTCTCACATTTATTCTGAAAAAGCACCCAAGTTCATCAACCTTATATTTTAAAACAATTAAACATAATAAACTGATAATTCTCTGCATATTATGGATAACAGTGGAAAGGCCATTAAAACCTTAATGCAGAATTAAAAGAGACATAATTATGCACCACCACATCCTCTCCTGAAGAAATACTGATGGCTGAAAGACATCACTGAAGTAATGACTTTAAAGTTTTAAACTATTTCTTAGAGATCTGACTATTTGATTTTGTGTGAACATTGTTTAACCTTCATAAGCAGCATGTTGCATTATCATCACAGTGTATGTACAAAGTCAAACTGAACAATCATGTTTCATTCAGTACTAATATTATTATACATAAATTAAAGTATGTACAGCTGGGAGATTTAAAATACAGGTAGCCCTTGTTATCCATAAGAACCTGATGCACTATTGCATTAAGCAACTGCAATGACATGAGGCACAAACAACTCACACAACAACACTGACACAGGAATGCTCGATTATGCTCAGTCACACTCAGTCTCTCTGTGTATGTAAGCCTTGGAGTTGAAATGACATTCTGCTTTATCTCCTTAATTTTGTGGAATCCATAATTTAAAATTCATCATCAGAACCAAACATGGGAGCAATGATATTAGTTTTACCAGTGGCAAGAGGCAAAGAAAATCTATTACTGATTTTAGGCTTTCAGGGTGGCTAACTACTGATGTTAATTCCCTCCCTTGGTTGTTACGCCAGGTCAACACTGAAGATGGATGTTGCAGGTACCTCCAAAATGTTAGCACCATTGCCCACAACCATACTGTGTAGCAATTAAATCCATTTCCCTTGAGAAACTAGCTGTGATTAGCAGGTATGAACATAAAAATAATGTACAGTCAACACAGCGAATGTCATGGGAATTCCTGATCAACTTCAAAAACAATTAAGAAGCAAGCTCATAAAATTAAGGAAAGGTGTAAAAGTGTACAGAGACTACTTCTGGTTCAGTGACAGGAGCATAAATACTAATGTGCAATTCCTCTGCCAACCATGATTGCTAAGACTAAGGCTTCTTTAGTGAACTGAAGGCTGCTGATCCAGATCTGAAAGTGCCATCATTTTCTGGCTGTGTGGGGTGGTTCAAACATTTTCAGGGATGTCACTGATTCAACAGCCTTAAGTTAATCTATGAGAGCTGTCAATCCACTGACATGGAGAATTCAGCTTATGCAATGGAGATTGCCAAGCCTGATATTTTTCTTGTATCTCCACACGCATTATAATTCCCAGTATCATCAATTATTTTTATGTAAACTGTGAAGCAATTAATACTAACATTAATAAAAAATGCAAAGTAAACAGATACTGTTCAATTTTCGTTCATGATTTAGAATGTATTATCTATTGTACTGTGTTAAAATTAACTCACTTTATGTGGCAAACTGCAGGAATGCATTATTCACATATAATGGGGGATACCTGTACTGTACTTTCTGACAACAAACTGTACCCTAAATTAAAGTTTTGCGTCTTCTGGATTTCTGGGCACAGCTCACATAAATTTTGATGCAAAAGGTAAAAGGCATGAAATGTGTCAAAAATAACTGGTCTAAGAACTGCCCTTCTGTCATAAATAATTTTCATCTTAGTTAAAAAATCAAGTGATGATAGTTTGAAGGTATATTATAAAAGATATTGTAAGATACTAGTAAGAGTAATAAGAGAAGCAAAGAGACTGTATTATCAAAAATTAATAATTAAATCAGAAAATAAAATACAAGTAACTTGGAAGATTATTAATAAAGAATCCGGAAAAAACCAGGTCTCAGATAAAGTAACAATTGCAAGTGGGAGAAAGTAGAGTAACGGATCCTAAGGAATTAGTGAGAATATTTAATGAACATTTTATAACTGTAACTAAGAATTTGGCAATAAAAAATGCTGATAAAAGTGAGGCAATTAAATTATTAAATAATCTTAAGTATGATAACTTACCTGAACTGAAATTAATACCCGTAACTAAGGTGGAAATAAAGAATATACTTAAGACACTAAAATCGAAAAATTCTACAGGCTATGACGGTATTTCTAGCAGAATATTAAAATATAGCATTAATCAAATAAGTAAACCACTTGGACATATACTTAATGCATCACTTGAACGTGGAATTTTTCCCGATAGAATGAAATTTGCATCAGTAAGACCTTTACACAAAACAGGTGAGAAGGTCCTTATGGCAAATTATAGACCAATATCACTGTTAATAATCTTCTCCAAGATATTTGAAAAAGCGATGTATAATAGGATAAAGCAGCACCTACATACAAATAATCTAATTTCATCTGCTCAGTTTGGATTTAGAGAAAATAGAAGTACAGAATCTGCAATCTATGCCTTAACTAATCATATATTAGAAACTTTGGAACGACGCTGTCTTTCATTAGGAATATTCTGTGATTTGACAAAGGCATTTGATTGTGTGGTGCATGATATCCTCTTGAGCAAGTTGGCTGTATATGGACTTGGTGGTAAAACTTTAAGATGGTTGAAATCATATTTGGGAAATAGAAGGCAAAGAGTGGAATTGTATACTAATGGGAATGAAAAATGTTGTTCAGGATGGGAGATTGTTGAATATGGAGTGCCGCAGGGCTCGATTTTGGGTCCCTTGCTGTTTCTTTTATATATCAATGACCTGTCATCAGCATTAAATACTGATGATAGGTTATTGTTGTATGCAGACGATACAAGCATAGTAGTGTCTGGTATTGATATTGATGAAATCCAAGTAAGGTCTAACTTAGTGTTGAATTCTTTAAGCCGTTGGTTTGCAGTTAATGGCCTGTCTCTAAATCTGAAGAAAACTAAAGTGGTAAAATTTGATACAACTAATCGAGATAATATGTCTATACATTTAAAGTTTAATGATGAGATATTGCATCAGGAAACCCACGTTAAATTCTTGGGCATTGAAATTGATAAGACCCTGAATTGGAAGTCACAGATTGAATCGATGCTGTCCAGATTGGGCAAGGCATGCTTTGCAATAAGAAACATGAAATTGTATAGCAATATTGAAACACTAAAGATGATTTACCATGCATACTTTCATTCAATTATGAGATATGGGATAGTATTTTGGGGAAACTCGTGGGAGGCTAAGAAGATTTTTCTTTTACAAAAAAGGGCCATCAGGATAATGTTGGGAATGAAACCCAGAGAATCATGTAGAACAGTTTTTAAAAAATTAAAAATTTTGACATTGGCTTCTCAATATATTTTATCTTTAATGATACTAATGGTAAACAATCTGGGGCATTATACTTTTAATCATACAATTCATGGTAAATCAACAAGACAAGTTAGAAACCTTCATGTTCCTCAATCGCATCTAACAAAGAGGCAAAAAGGGGTCTATTGTATGAGTGTAAAAGTTTTTAATAGTTTGCCTGATTTTTTAATTGAGTTGGTACATGATAAAAAACAGTTTATTGAGAAACTAAAGGATGTATTGCTTCAAAACCCTTCTTATACTGTTGAGGAATTCCTGCTTTTCTGTCAAGACCTGTCAAGAGGTGTCTGACAGTGTACACTTCATTTAACTCTATGTCCTTGGCTGTGCTTATGTATTCTTGCTGCAATTTGTATTGCTTTTAACTATTGTATGTGTACTTGTTGCAATTTGTATTGCTTTTTAACTATTGTATGTGTATTTGCTGCAATCTGTATTTCCTTTTAACAATTTTATGTGTTTTTTTGACAAGTATGGATTATATATGCTAGTGATTTTGTTTGTGAATGTACAAGTTTCCAATGTCTTGTTGGATTGTTGACATGTTTTATATTCTGTGCCTGTGCACATTTGTGAATAATCTGAAACGCAAATGTATATGTATGTATGTATGTATGTATGATGTAAAAAGCCAGAGGTGACATGTACACATATGAATGTATTAATAACATAAATAATTACAAGAGTTACCTTCTTGGAAACAGTATTCACACATTGGATCATTTGTTCCTGATACCACCAGTGCTTCATAACTCTGCATGTTATTACAGTAACTACAAAGGCCCATGATGATATTCATTTTTGGGCTATCTGAAATAAACATAACAACATATATAACAACTGTATATCCCTTTTAGACCAAGGTAACCATGGAAAGGCAATTTTTTACATTGTAATGGTTTCCTAAACAATAAAAATACTTGCACAGCACAGTATTATTCTAACATTTAAATTAAGTGTCTGACAGCCAGCCACTGGTTTACATTCCCATTAATATTTACTTCACTAATTACCTGACTAGCTAATTTGTATACCATTCAAAAATAGCTTTTATAAGCAAATTAGTTGAATATCCCAGAATCAGAATATTTTGTCAGGTTAGAGTCTATAAAGTTCAGAACTGAGGAAATGTACAAGATATCTTTTACAACTCCTCTTAAGACAAAATTCACCCGGTCCTTAACAACAAGAATGGGATGACATATCTGAATCTGAAATAAACATATTTTTAAATGTATCTGCAATCTGGATGCCCATTTATTGCAGAAAATACTGACATCACACTGCAAAGTCAGAAATTATGCTCCCTTGTATTTTGTTAAATATTATGTACAACAAAAATGTTTCAGTTATGAACTGTTTATCATGACACCTATACTTTACATTAAGTATGATTTTTGTCTGAACATTTCAGCTTCACATGAAGGTTATACTGGACTGACCAAAAGCCCGCAGTTCAAAAACAAATTTAAATGAAAAATGTTAAGTAATTTTAAAGATGAAAAATGAGATGGACAGATATATCACCTCCATTACACCTTCATTTTATACACATTATCCAAAGTAAGTTTAATGACTAATAACTCCATATAGATTGATCCAAATATGTAAATGCTAAGCACTGCCATTAGCTGACTGAAAGTGTGCAGGAAGTGTAGGCACAAGAGGCTGTTCAGTAAGACACGAACAGCTGGAGTTGAGGTTCTCATAGTGGTGGCTATGAAGAGTTCCTCCTTCTGGGATATAATGACATATGCTCCACTGGAAGTCAACCAACATTTCAGAGGAACTTATCGTCTCCATCTTCACAGTTGAAGGGTTAGCTAAGTGACATACCAGCATGACACTGGCAGCAAGCAGAGCTTATTTTTTGATCAGATGGAGGCAATACATTACTCTGAAACATCAGTTAATTCTCACCAGACTACAACGCATTATATCCCACAAGATGGAACTGTTAAATATATGAATAGGTTTAAAAGCATCATCATACCAAACTATTCTACAAAAGGCCAGACAACAGCGGATGAGAAGAGATTCCAATCTCTAGAGTACTGTAACTAATGCTTTTCACTAGAGGAAAGTCCCCCCCCCCCAAAAAAGACTCTTGTAAAAACATCTACAGTTCAAAATGAATGCACTAGATTTAATATCTTCATTTAAACTTCTTTAACCTAAATGTGTTGTATTATCATCCATCCAAATACAGTGAATTTAAATTCCAGAGTTTAATTTTATTAATTCTTGTACATCACACTGGTTAATTATTATAAAATGATTTGACAACACCTTCAAGTGTGACTCAGTATATATTTATATAATTCCTTTACATGTTTCAGTCAATTACAACAATCTTCAGAAGGCAATAACAACATGTTAAAGAACTACTATTATATATATCATAGTATATAACCTTATATTTTTGTATAAAGTTTTTTAATTAATTAAAAGGTGTTTAAGTTAAAAGCAAATTATTAATGTTCTTAATATTTAAAATCTTCAGGTTTGTCTCTCTGTACCTCTTCTGTGAAAACGGGAGATTGGGGTGTTATTTGCTGTCCTCTGAGGTCCAGGCAGAGTTGTCTTCCCTTTTTTTATATGATTAGTTAAGGATCTGTGTTGTTGTTATGTTTTTCTTTTCATTGTGTACTGAGGCCTCAATACACAACTTACGCTGGATGTGTTCCAGCTTGTTGGCATACATACATAATTCATAAATTCACTGATTCGTGCCTGGATACTGAACTTGTCAAAATAAGACTTGATTGCAGAAGTACAATTGTGTCAACAGCAAACAACCACACACAACCAAAAACACCAAATAACCATAATTTACATTGTCATTCATAAACAAAATTGCAAGGAATATAGTTATTAAATGTTATACATGCTTAGCATAAATATATTCATCTATTGAATAAAAAGCATTTGTTGTGAGGAGACTTTTCAGTGTGCATTTAAAAATTTTCACATTATCACTCATCCTTTGTATATTTTTGAGGAAGATTATTATAAACCATAATGGATGAATATAACACGCCTCTCTGGAGTGAAGATAATCTCACTGATGACGCATGTAGCTTTCCAACTGTCTATGATCAATATTATTGTTGGTTTTAAAGAAATTGCAATTTCTAACAACAAACATCAATATAGAAGAGATATATAGGCTAGGAAGTGTCAAAATACCCAACCTCTTAAAACCTTCTCTACACGAGTTTCTAGGACTCAATCTCAGCATAACCCTAATCGCTCTTTTTTGGGCAACAAATAAACTTTTTATAACTGAAGAAGAACCCCAGAATATAATACTATATTCAAGCTGAGACTGATAAGAAGAAAAATAGACCATTCGAAAAGCTTGTTCACTGACAAGGGACTGTAACTTCCTTAGCATAAAACACGCTGTATTCAGTTTCCTTAATAATTTGTCAGATTTCTTTTTTTTTCCCAATTAAGTTCACAACCTAAATACATACCTAAAAATTAACATTATCAACATCTTTAAGTCTAAAATTATTATATGTTACCAATAATGTATACTCTGGAGACTTAGGAGTCACAAATTTAATCAAGTGAGTTTTACTCAAATTAAGTATCAGATTATTTCAAAACCAGCTTGAAACCCTAGTCATAACTCTATTTAATTTAATATTCAAAGAGTTTAGGTCATTTGAGGTAATTAAAATTGTTGTCATCCACGTACAAAACAGTACGTGCTATATCCTTAGAGTACCTGGGAAATCATTAATATAAACATTAAACAACATTGGTCCCAGGACAGATCCCTGTGGAACACCAAACCTTACAGATTTCCATTCAGAGATTGTAGCAGTCGAATTACAAGTATGTAGCACAACTCTTTGCATTCTATTTTTTAAATAAATCTCCAACCATTTCAAAATAGGGCCTTTGGCTCTATACATCTTCAACTTTTGAATCAACAGATCATGACTGACACAATCAAAGGCCTTTGTCAAATTACAAAAAATACCTACCACAAACTCCTTATCGTTCCATGCTTTAACAACAGTATCACTTAGATTAAAGACTGCGGTTTGTGTAGAAACATCCTTATGAAAGCCATAAATCAGTTGATGTAACTGACTTCCAGACTATGGACACATATCCAAACTCAGATCTGACTAATTAAGAACATTAATAATTTATTTTTAACTTAATTAAAAAATGCTTATACAAAACTACAAGCATATATATTACGATTTGTGTAATAGTAGTTCCTTAGTATGTTGTATTGCCTTCTGAAGATGGTCACAACTGACTGAAACATGTAAAGACAATATATACTGAGTCACACTGGACGGTGTTGTCAATTAATTTTATAATACATTCCAAAGGCTTAAAAAAGCAAAGACATGTGAAATGTTTTCTCACTGCAATGTGATAGTATTACAATTGCTTTAGAGAGCTGGGACTTCTACAGAGACACATTTAAAAAAGTATAAGTAAATTTTTATATTTTTTAAACCTTCTGTAACTGTCATGAGTTCTATTTCACATTTTATTGAACAATTCCTGTAACAGAATGGAATATATTCCACTTTTTAAGAATTAAACAGATTACAGTTACCTGACAGGGACGTAACTTCAACACAAGGTCATAAGTGACTTGGATCTCTGCACTTACACCACTGAAATCATGTGGTTCACATAGATAATTGCAAAGGGAATTTCTTAAAATGGCATTCATACTTTAGCAAAGTTCCAGATTGGGAGACCGGCCCCCAAAACGTTGGTAACATACCAGATTACATAGTGTGGCTTGCCATTGTGAGAACCTCAAATCCAACATGTTATTAAGTATTTTTTGAGTTTAGTGAAGGAACAGGCAACACAGTTAGGTCTGATAAGTATTAACACATTGAGAACTGATCGCATGACATCATGCTTTTAGCTTTTAAACGTGATGGACCAGTCGCATGATATCATGAGTTTAGGACACGTTAAGTTGCAACACACTATACCTTGCTCTGGCGCCACCCAAGTTGCATGCAATGGTGTAATAAAACTCTAGAATGTTTGCTTGTCAGTAACTTGACCTTGCTGTGTTCTTAACCCACTATAAACGAAAATGCTTTGCTGCTCTTCGAGCTGTATGTATCAGCCAGCAGTCAGTGGTGGGGTATGGACAAGGACAAATTCTTCTCCCATCAGCTAGCTGGCCTGCCTTGTCAGATGCGTAGTCATGGTGATTCAGAGAGCGGCAGTGAAAGGGTAAAACGAAGAATTGTGGCCACAGACAGTAAAAGTGACAGTAGCTCTGATGATAATGGGGGTAATAACATTGCAGGGACAGTAAAAAATCTAAGAAAATCACAAAAATCTAAACCCTGATTTGAAATTGGAATACAAACATTTCTGACGAATGTGGCAAAGGCCTGGGCTACAGTCCAGATGGTAGCGACAGAACCAGGGTCACACAAAGACTTAGTACGACCGGGCCCATCAACTCCCACCCCACGAAGGCCTCATGTGGACCCTCCAGGGCAACTCTCAAGTGATATGCGGAAACATATCCTCGTGAAAATTGTGAAGAGTGAATATTCCAAGGTGAAGCATCCTTCTAGGCAATGCCATGTTTGCAGTTCACAAAAAAAGGAGTATGTCTACACTTGCAAGTTCCGTGTAATGCCACTTCACAAAAGGGAATCTTTCCAGAAATATCACACCCTCAAGCACTTCTAGGAACATTGGTAAGTGTTCTCCAAAAATTTAGTTCATAAAATTAATTAGGAGATTTCATATTAATTTTTAAAGTGAACAGTGCACAAGCTAGGATAGTAGGTTTAATAATGGCAGCCCCAGGGTGATTTAAATATTTAAATTGCCGGTCCTTAATGTGTTAAGAGTGACAGTCTGACATTTTGGCATTAACTGTGTAGATTAAGGGAGTCAAATTATTAGCATAGATCTGTGCTCCTCTATTATCTAGAGAAATATAATTTAACAGTTAACCGTGATTCGAACTGAGTGTGGCTTATTTTGTGAGTAATAAACCTTCTACACTTTGTCTTCCTGCCTCTATTCCACAGTTCATGCTATTATCCAATTCCTCCCCCACACCCTGGGAACTGATGCTTACCATTTAGCTAGACGGCAAGCTGTAAGACCTAACTCCCACTCCTAATGATTAGTAAGAACTCACTGCAGGACTCTAAAAAGGTGAAATAAATAAATGAGGGAATGGTTACAGTATGCTCCTAAAAGATACTGAACATGTAATATAATCCTGTGACATGCTTCATACTAATGGAAATGAAGGCAAATACTTTGTTTTAAATTAGTGATGTCTTCATGTATATTTGCACTGGTATGTACACAATTATGGCCCAAATCAAAGATTTATCTCAAGGGAAGCACTTACTATGAATGGGAGGTTCAATATCCTTCACCCATGCCTTCAGCAAATACACTTCTTTTTCGTTTGTCCTCTTTCTTTTGATATAGGAAATATTTGCTGGAACCATTCCTGATACTGCAGTAATTCCTAGTGAAGTGGTAACAAAATTAGTATACATTCCAAACAGTGAAAATGTCAGTTTCAGACTTAATTTCCCTCAGATAAGTACAACATTTGAAGGCCTAGAAAGGGATTTACCAATTTCTTGGAGTATCGTTCTTTGTAGACGAGACCCAGGGTGTTATGTCAGAATGCTAAAAATCTGGTTTTGTTCAGCAAAGGGAACTAAATGTGATCTCCATCGTCAAACCATAACCACTGAAGTGAAAAACTGGCACACTTGCAAATGGTATTTGGTATATTATATCAGATATACCTACTTCCTCTGCTCCTCCATTGAACACTATTCATAACTTTCCCCTCATTTAATCCAAAATAAGCAAGAGCAGAAAGATGGGCATCACTGGAATGTACATATTTTGTAATTGCATTCTTTGTGATTTTCTATAATTTATTGGTCTCGATGTTCATCTACTGCAGTAAAACTATGCTATAGATATCAAACGCCATAAAAAATTATTTGTCCTTTTATTTCATAAATTATTTATCATATTGAAAAAAAAAGTTTCAAATAAAAATGACATATTTTAATGAGATTTATGTTTTATGTCACAGACCATTTTTGTATCATGAGAAGCTTCTGAAAAAACTGATAAAGATTGATTTCAAGTTCATATAACGTAAGCTATATTAATTCATGCAAACAACTGACATATTTTTACTGTGAATACCAATAAAGGAACTACTGAAAACTGGTTCAGTAGTTCTGGAAATTAAACATGAGGACAATTGGGTTGACATCTGTCCCCTGTAGTGTTCTAATATTGGTGGTACATGAATCAGTCACAACCACTACTACAGATTACGTTAAAAATGTACTATAGAATTAAAATACAGAAACTCAAAATATATTAGTGGAATACGTAAGGAAATAGTGAAGTCAAAAATAGTAAATAAATCTAATTTTTTAAAATTATATGCATTTTTCATCTGGTGCATGTCATGACATTCATGCTCCCTATNTTATTATTATTATTATTATTATTATTATTATTATTATTTAATTATATTCCATTAATCCATACAAGGTCAAATGACCTATAGGATAGAGAAACTGTCATTATAAATAAAAAACAATAAATATAACAGTAAATCTCATATAAATGTCATAAATCTTACAGCAGCCATCTGAAACAATTTTACATAGAATACAAATATGGCAATGAAAGTAAATTACAACTATTAAATAAATAATGAAAAGGTATTCATTGGGAAGTTGTTTTGTAAAATTCATCAAGGCTATAAAATGCATGTGCAGTAAAATAGCTTCTCAATAAAGATTTGAATTGCTTAACATCTTTAGATAACAATTTAATATTCAAAGGTAAGTGATTATAAATCTTGTTTCCAGAGAACAGCACTCCTTTTTCTACTATTGATAAATTTGTAGAGGGTAAGTATAAATTTGGTAGCAGAGTGGTCTAAGGCATGTACTGTCTTCGCTCGCTTGGAAACCGGGATCGTGGGTTCGAATCCCACTCAGGGCATGGATGTTTACTTTGTGTGTGTGCGTTTTTCTGTGTCTGCGTACAGGTAGAGGCCTTGCGACGAGATGATTACCCGCCCAAGGAGTCCTACCGAATGTGTAAGATCTAAAAAACCGAAGTGAACAGAGAAGTTCATGAAGGTAGGCCTAGGCCCACTGGGGCTGTAGTGCCAAGGAAAAAAAAAAGTATAAATTATAATTATAGCGGGTATTAATATCATGAATAGCCATGTTAGATGTAAAGTAATTTTTATTCTTAATAACGAAAAGATGTGTCATATCACAAGGAAGAAAATACTGCACTGAAGGTTTCAAAGTGGGCAAATGGATTCTGTCTCTTGCCTGTGTCAGAGATTAGGAAAATCTCCATATTACGTTTTTATTTCACTAATTTCCTATTAGCAAGCACATAAATTATTCCTATTTTTTTTTCATCTGAAACTTTAAAATTTGTATGACTTGTTTGTTACTGGACACAACTGTATGAAACTTCCACTGATCATTCTACACATTTGGGAAAACTGTGTAACAAGGTCTGTAGTAGACATGCAAAATATAATGCTTAAATTTTATTAATTTATTTCTTTTAATAACACAAAGGTCTTTACTTTCTGGATGACCTATATATTGTAACATGTAGTACCAATGCTATGCGACTGTGAGAAGGAACATGCGCTGCTTGGTACTGGTTGGTAAACATGTCAACAGCATCTGAGCTACTGCTAGGAAACCATCCATAACAACAATAGAGGGATTGTTGGAGGTGGTGTTTTCTGTTTGGTCCACCCTGAGTCTACATAGCGAGGACTGCAGGCAAGCTGAGTGAAGTGAAGTGGTTCGTGGGTGAGTTCAGTTGCGGGATATTCACCAGACAGTTATGACATGAGCGCAGAAAGCTGAAGAATCTCCACTGTTGAAGCCGTTGCTAGGGAACGGCTATGATGACACAGCAGGCTGGAAAAGGCCTTAGTGGGAGCTGTGGTGATTTGTAAAGTGTGGAGATTAGCGATATTGCTGTAACTACTTGTAGTTCTGAGTGGTGTGTATAAGTGGTCAATAAATCCATTCACCAATCCATAGTCCCACACTTTTTGAAGTGATGATATATACACATATGTAACAAACTCCATGAAGCACAATCACTCTTGAAAGTTAAGCTGGTCAAGAAATTTTCTGTCCTTTATGAAATATGAAGATACATTACTGTGTTTACAAGAACCTGCCACAGGCACCTATCATACTCGTAAGTCAGATGAATCCAGTCCACAACTCCCATGTTAGCCTCCCCTCCAAAGCTCAAATATCCCCTGTGGTTTTTCCCTTTCAGGAGTTCTGAACATTTTTATGAATGTCCAGCTCTCCCATGGGCAGTAGTCATACATGTCACACCCATATTATCTTCCTTGACTGATAATCATAATATTTAGTGAAAAGTATAAATTATGATGCTCCCGACCATGTAATCTTACACTTCTTCCCTCTTAGGTTACAGGAAACAGGAAACTCAAACAGGAAGTGAGACACTGAATGAATTGTTCAGGGTTCACTTTCCCCGATTCAAAATTGATTGATAATTTGGATGATGGGCAGGGACAGCAAAACCTGGCACTTGCCAAAGCAAGACAAACAGGGAAGACTGGAACCTGGCCAAAGTCATAATCAACCGATCAAAAATCAGATGGGCACTGAATACCTTTAGACCTTTAAGTCAGCGGGAACAGATACTGACACTTTTGCAGCAAGGGGCAGAACTCTTAGTTCCACACCTATGCCGCATATATAGAGCTTGCATGGCATATGGTTTTATCCCAATGGCATGGAGGCAAGTTAAGGTGACATTTATCCCAAAGCCCGGTAAACTAGATTACACCGGGGCTAAGGCTTATTGTCCTTTCAGCCTGTCATCTTTCCTTTTCGAAAATGATGGAGAAAATAGTGGATAGGCATATCAGGGACATGGCATTGAGGACATATGCTCTACACCAAAACCAGCATGCCTACCAAACAGGTAAATCTACCGAAAGCACACTACACAATGTGGTAACATGCATAGAAAGTGTGACTGAACACAAGGATATTGCCTTAGGAGCATTCCTTGACATAGAGGGAGCTTTTGATAAACCTCATTTGATATAATCAAACAGGCCACTGGAAAGCATGTCATAAAGCCTGCAACATGCAGGTGAATCAGTGCTATGCTGGAAAGCAGAACCATAGCTGCCACACTATCCGGAGAGACCCTGGGGGCATCTGCGTCTAGGGGGTGTCCGCAGGGGGGCGTGCTCTCGCCTCTGCTGTGGAGCCTGGTCGTTTTTTATGATCTCCTGTGGGGACTTAATGATGATGGGTATTATAAAGTAGGATATGCTGATGACATAGCAATCCTCATAAATGGAAAATTCCTTTCAACAGTATCAGAACGTCTTCAAACAGCTCTGTACACGGTCCAACGATGGTGTGAGAGAACAAGCCTTTCCATCAATCCCAATAAGATGGTAATTATACCGTTTACCAGGAAGAGAAATATAAAGGACCTTAAGGAACTGACCCTCTTCAATAAGACGATCCTGCTCTCCAGTGATGTCAAGTACCTTGGTCTACTATTAGACTAGGGACTGACATGGAAAAAGCAGCTGGACAAGGTCATCTATAAAGCCTATAAGGCTTTTTGGACATGCAGAAGCATGTCTGGTAAAACTTGGGGACTGCAGCCGCACGTTGTGCATTGGATATACACTGTGGTTGTGAGACCCATAATTACATATGGCACCACAGTATGGCAGCCCAGAGTTAAACTCAAGACAAGCAAGGCAGAACTTAGCATATTGCATAATTTGGGTTGCTTGGGTATCACAGGAGCAATTCGAACCCAACAGTTGCACTGGAGAGACTCCTTGGACTCACCCCACTACATCTACAGTTGGAGGCAGAGGCCAGGGCAGGAATCTACCGTCTCCAGTGCAGTGATCAATGGAAACCTAAATCTGATGGTTTTGGCCATGCATACATGACTCAGGACATGAAAAAAGAACCCATATTACAAATGGGGTCTGACAAAATGATACTGAGACATGTATATGAAACACCATTCACAGTCAGATGTCCTCACAGGAGTGAATGGGAAGACGGGTTTCAGCCTGATAGAAAGGGGGACTGAACTGGTATACAGATGGTTCCAAGATAAAGAAGGGCACTGGAGCTGGTGTGTTCTGCTATGGCATGAGGTGCAAACTTAGTTTCAGCCTTGGGCAGTACATGACAGTATTCCAGGCAGAAGTATATGCCATTAAGGCATGTATTATGGAGAATCTAGACAGGAACTACAGAAATAGGAACATCTACATTCTATCTGACAGCCAAGCTGCACTTAAAGCGCTTGATGAACACCAGATCAACTCAAAACTGGTCTGGGATTGCCACCAAACTCTCAAGGAACTGGCCAAACATAACAGGGTTCAACTGATATGGGTGCTGGGGCATGAGGGTATTGTTGGAAACGAAACAGCAGACCAAATAGCTAACACTGGAGCTGAACATCCGTTCATGGGACCTGATCCAGCCTGTGACATCCCTATAGGAGTCGCCAGAAAGACAATCAGGGACTGGACAAATATGAATCACAAGAAATACTGGAGATCCTTGACTGGACTCAGACAAGCAAAGGGACTCATATGAGTACCCTCTACTAAAAGAGCGAAGGAACTGTTGAAGTTAAACAGGAACCAGCTACAATGGGTGGTAGGACTACTTACAGGACACTGTCACCTCAAAGGACACCTCTTCTAACAGGAACTAAGTAATAGCCCAATTTGTGAGAGGTGCCAAGAAGAAAATGAAACAGCCACACATATCCTGTGTGAATGTGAGGCCTTAAGCTTATTTAAGATTGTGTCACTTGGGTCAATATTTTATGGAACCAAGTGATTATTTCAATGTCCTCACGTACAAAATCCTATGCTTCATTTGAAGTGCCGGATTGTTGAGGGGATAATCAGAAGGGGAGGCACAATAGATCACTGGGTCGTGGTGCAAGGGCCAAGAAGGCCTACCCCTTATACATTCATTCATTCCCTCTTAGGTCCAAATACTGTTATCAACATCATACAAAATGTTACCCAATAACCTTCTCTCAAGGTTATGTCCATAAAGGATCAACTTCTGGTCAGATTTTTTTTTGTAGTTATCAGACACTGGAAAAAAAATGGGAGCACAGACTGTACATCAGCTATTCACAGTCTTCAAGAAAGGCTATGATTCAGTCTGGAGGGAAGTACTGCATAATATTCTCACAGGGTTTGGGGTACCCACAAAGGTAAAATGGCTAAAATGATTTTAAAGAAAACCTATATACCTGTAAACATTTGTCTGATATGTTTCCTATCAAGAACGGTCTAAAACAAGGAGAAGCTTTATCGTCATTACTTTTCAACTTTGCTTTAGAATATGCTACTAGGAAGGTCCAGGAAAACCAGATGGGACTGAAATTGAATTGGACATACCAGCTGCTCATCTATGCCAATGATGTGAATCTACTGGGAGATAATAGATACCATACAGAAAAACATAGAAACTATAATTTATACTAGGAAGGAGGTTGGGCTAGAAGTAAACACACAGAAAACTAAGTATATGTTGCTGTCTCATCACCAGTATGCAGGGCAAAATCATGACATGAAGATAGCTAACAGATCCTTTCAAAATGTGGCACAGTTCATATACTTGGGAATGACAATAACAAATCACAATTTGATTCAGGAAGAGATTAAGAGGAGACTGAATTCAGGTAATGTTTACTACCATTCAGTCCAGAACCTTTTGACTTCTCGTCTGATGTATAAAAACACACAAATCAGAACATACGAAATTATAATTTCACCTGTGGTTTTGTATGGGTGTGAAACTTTGTCATTGACATTAAGGGAGGAACATAGACTGATGGTGTTTGAGAACAGGGTGCTGAGGAGAATATTTGGACCGAAGAGGGATGAAGTGAAAGGTTGGAGAAAACTGCATAATGAGAAGCTTCATAAATTGTACTCTTCTCCAAGTATAATTAGAATGATCAAGTCAAGGAGAATGAGGTGGGCAGGGCATGCAGCACAAATTGGGGCTAAGAGGACTGTGTATAGGATTTTGGTGGGAAAGCCGAAGGAAAGAGAATACTAGGAAGACTGAGATGTAGATGGTTGGCTAATATTAAAATTGAGCTTAGAGAGATAGGATGATGTAGCATGGATTGGATTAATCTGACTCAGGATAGGGACCAATGGATGGCTCTTGTGAACATGGTGATCAACCTTTGGGTTCCATAAAATGTTGAGAAATTCTTGAATAGCTGCACAATTGGTGGCCTCTGGAGAAGAGTTCAGCTCCAAGGAGGGAGTTAGTTAGTTATCTTCATCACCCTGTTCTCAAACAGCAGATAAAATGATGGTTTTGTATATCTGAATCTTTACATTTTATGTATAAAAATATTCAGAGATTTTATACAAGTACAAAATACTTCTTTGTGATGATAAATAAACTGCCAATGGTACAATCCATTGTGATTATACCAAACAAACTTTCTGCTAGAAGTTTACAATAAAGAAATCTGGGGCAAATATACATCGCTAAATTAAATAACTTTTAACCCATTAACATGGATAATATCTCTAACCATTCAACAGAAACAAAATTATCATAAGTTTGTACTATTAGAAGCTTACATTTAAGTAACTTTATATATACATCATTAAATGACACAACTCTTTTCCTTACAAATTGGGTTGATATGTCTAAGCATTGAACAGAAAGGGAATATTACAAATTATTCCCAGAATGTCTCATTTTGAAATGTCTCTAAATTTCTTTACAACTCAATAACAAATCCAAACATTCTCCAACCATAACTAATAAAGCAAATGATAACTAACCAACGCTTTATACATATATATAAATACTCACTGACCTGAAGCAAACATCTCTCTGTATACAACAGCGCTATCATCCAATTCGGGGGAAGACAGTTCCATATGTTCTTCTTCACTCATGCATTTACCAATTATGACACTACAATTTCCATCATCTTGCTCATTGCAGTCAGCATCTGCTGCTACTATGCTTTTACTGTTCTCAGATACACGATGCCTTTGTACTGCTCCAGACAATGAAGTGTTACTGTCAATATCTGCAGACAAGGCATCAGAACTAGAATCTTCAGTAAAAACCAAAGTTCCAGCTATGTGGTTATTTGACAGTTGACTGTCTGTCAAACACGCTTGTGTGAGCGCAGAGAATTTATTAGTAGAATCTAGATCATCCACTTCACTTGAAGGAACTTTCTCTGAAGCTACAGATCTACCATCACTCATTTCATCATCTCCTGAACACCCCGCAATAAGAACAGGGTTCTTGTTCTGGTTGCCACTGGACTGTGTGCTAGTGCATTGCTGAAAACTGTTTCTTGCAGCAATAGCATCAGAAAACTGGGCATAAGTTTCATCTCCATTCATCTGACAATCATTATCTTCATGAGGTGTGTTTTCTGCTAACAAATCCTGTTGCATGCTCTGTTCAGACACTCCAGAATGCTCTGTATCTTGTTCCTTTTGCTTCATGTGGACAGTGAATACAGAATTTGTTTCCGAAACAGGAACTAGTTGCACATTAGCAATACTCTGCTCTAGCACCGATTTCTGTGGTGACTGACAATGAACTTCATCCTCTTCAGCAACTGACATCAAGGATGGCAGGCACTGTTCATCTTCACTAAGTTGTCGGCCATTATTAAGGGATGGTCGATGCTGCTCATCTTCAACCTGAAGTTTTGACTGACCATTGGATATAAGGTTTTGCGCAAGTGGATGGCTGTTATATGTAAACAAACCTGTAGTCAAATCCAACTGCTGAGAGTCATCCTCTACTGAAGAAAGGGCTGGATTTTCTGCAACCTGTGAATGGTCCTCAGAATTTAAGTGACTGCATTCCTGGTTAGGATGCTGCATTACATTACCATTACCATTACCATCACTCCTCGTAACTTCCACAGGCAATATTTTTAACAGTGATTTATTTCTCACATCAAGAGATTCATTAACAACGGAAGATCTATCCTTACTAGTTGCAACTTCTTCACCTGTATCTTTGTTTTGTGCTGATAGCATGCTGGAAGAAACGCTAGGATGATGTAGTGAAGCACTGTCAACTGCTAACCCATGTGAAATGTCCAAAATTACAAGAGAGGGAACAGGATTTGTGGGTTCCACACTCAAATTATTATGCATAACTGCATTTGACAGATTCCTCATTGCATGGTCCATTGTATCATCTGATGACTGAAACCCATAGCGAATGAGGCTGCTGTCAATATTACAAGATGTCTGATTAACTTCCTGACCCTCCTGACTCGAATGACGTTCTAATATATCATGTGCTTTCCCTGACATACAATGTCTTTCTGTCACTAATTTTCCCAGGTCATCTAGCCATACTGATAAATGTCTTTTAGAACAAATACTTGTATTCTTGCTTGGTGACAGAGGAAATGTTATACTCCTTTGCAATTTCTGTGCTGCCACTGACATGCCACTTGTTCCATTACGTTGCAATTTATGCAGTGACTTAACCAAATCTTCTGCCTGATGTTCAGAAGTCTTCTGTCCACTAGTCGAAGGCAGATTCCTATTTTCTTCTGTCTCACTTGAGGTAACTATTGTGGACCCATGCTCCTTTCCTGGTACCAATCCTGATTCATGCGTTGGTTTACAATCTTGCCGAACGGGTGATGAAACAGCTGATTTGTATTGGTCTTTTGATGATGTTGAGGAGAATGAGGATATGGATGTATTATGTTTCTCTCTGCGTACAGAATGTTCAGATGTATTTGGTTTCTTTCCAGGTGGTGGTAACACAGACTTGCTTTCTTGTTCACCAACTTCCTTACGTGACACTGCACAATTTTTATCGTGTTCATACATTACAGGAGCAGTTCTGGAACTTGTCTGCTCTAAATTATTTGAATGTGAACTCATTTGTTTTGAACTGTTCTGTCTTTGAATTTCAGTACTCTCTGATATACTATCAGAACATGCTTGTTTATCACTTACTAGCAATTCAACATGATCTGAATTATTAGTGATGGCTTCTATTTGTGAAGACACTTTATCATTAGACTGTGTGCCGGTAATGTCAACATCCATTGTTTTATGTGAACCCAAAGCCATATTTGTTAGTTCCTGCAATTTGTGTCCCCTTTCAGATCCTTCGGCTTCATGTGACAGAGATCTCTTCCGTGATGCACCGGTTACTGTTCTAGATATAGATCTTTCATTTTCTTTAGTTTGATTGGAACTTATGCTTTTGATTTCTTTGCCACAGTACTTTATTGTGTCATACTTTATATTTGTTAGAAAAGTATTAGAAGCAGATGATGATGATGATGAAGAAGCACAACATCCTGGTTGTTGTGTCACAGTCACTGGTTCTGCGGCCAGTAAATCAAAAGGATTATCGGGGGGCAGCTGCTGTTTCATTCGCATGTCCTGTAACTGTCTGAAAAAAAAAATCCAGATTGTCACAATTTTTCATAAATTATTAAATGCAAAATGTTCCATAAGATTTCAGATTATCCATTACTTAAGTCCCAAGTTCTTACTCTATCAATGCAATGATCCAAGTGAGCAAGCTATCTCAGTGATCATGTCTCACACATTCAGAAAATACCTGTTTTATATCTAAACCACGGAAATTGCTCTTCTGATGTTTGTCTTGTATTTTCAGATGAATTTTGGGACCCTATCTTACACACAACTTCCTCTTGCATCCCTTGAACATAATGGTCATCAATCTCAAATAACAATGGCTGTACCATGACTCAGATGGTTAACCATCAGTTTCCCACCACAGCAGCCTGGGTTCAATTCCAGGTCATGTCATGTGAGATTTGTGATGGCCAAAGTGGCACTGGGGCAGGTTTTCTCCAAGTACTTCAGTTTCCTCTACCAATTCTCATTCCTCCAACTGCTCCACATTCAATATTCATATTATCATCTGATGCTACAGTCTTGATAGTGACAGCAGATTTAAAGAATGAATCTTAAAAAATGATGTTACATACCATTGCATTAAATTACCTATAGATAAATTCAAATATGACAGTAACTTTTTTCAGTGGTCAATGCTTAGAAAAATATATGTTTCTCTGTAATGCAAACAGTCAATTACCATTAAAAGAGTCGTCTACCTTCCATTGAAACACTGCAGCATATGACGGGCTAGCATACAGCCCACCAGACCATTTACAAGCCAACAGTGTTTACTGTCAGAGAGCTACTGTCCCACAGAGATGTGAGGTCAGCAATAAATTCTGGGAAGCAAAAACACTTGCCAAGGAAACTGGGAATTTTGGTGAAAATATGAACTCGTTATATATGATAATTATTCAAATACAGAAGATAAACCAAAGAGCGTGAAAAATAATTTTGTTCAGACTTGTGTGTTATCTCTTCCCTGCAAAGATTGTGATTTAAAAAGCTGAAACTATTATTTTAAATGGTTTTGTACAAGCGTGAAAACTCTTACACCAAGTAAAGGACATGGCACTGATATCATTTGGAACAAGATGCTGAGTGAAATACTGTATCAAGCGGGAGGAGGAAAATGGAGAAAATCACATAACTTGTATTCTTCAATAAATTTTATTCAGATGATCAAATCAAGAAGAGTGAAATCAGCAGGGCATGTGACACAGTGGGAAACACAAAAAAAGGATAAAAAATTTTGCATATAAAACTTCAGGGGAAGAGCCCACTTGGAAGACATAGGCATATATGGGAGGATAATAGTAAAACAGTCTTACAGAAATAGGGCACAGTAATGTGAAATGGGTTTATCTAGTTCAGGATAGGGATCAGTGGTGAGCTCTTCACAACACAATAACAAACCTTCTAGTTCCACAAAAGGCACAAAATTTAATACCTTACACAGCGATTATTTGCTTCTCAAGAACTCTACTTACTGGAGGTGGTTACCAGAATCAAAAACAAAAAGATGTGGTCCAGTGGTATAGACAAATTTTCAGATACACTCATTGTGAAAATGCATTCCTCTATGTGCAACTCTCAAACTTTTTTGCCTGGTACCCCTTACAGAGTCAACCAGTTGTCTGACCACAAGGTGGGGGGGGGACTGGAAAATGAGAAACTTCGTTTTTCATACTCTTATGACACAAAAGGACAAGAAACACCTTTTTATCTGTCACATGTACAACCTTAAAATAAGCTGATACAAAATAAAAATAACATATCCAGATAAAAAAGTTTTTAACGGGAATGTTGAAAGTGGTGTTTTATGGTAACCCTGGCAAGTTGATTTTGTACCCCTAGGTGTACTAGCACTACAAGAAACTGTTCTATGGCAATGCTGTTTATTTCATGCATGCATATTTTTTTTATTTTGTTTTATCCAGAGAGCTGCCTCTGGAATAATAAATGGACATTAAACATTTTAACACACAGCAAACATATACATGTCCATTAGTGACAAAGTTAATTAGAAAAATATATGAAATGTACTGCTTTGTTTGTATTTCATTACATATTAACTATATTATAAAAGCCTATAAATTAAAGTTTTGTACCTTAATTAGACCTGCACTTTATACTGTGCAACAGATTTTTTTCAAAATTTGTAAGAAATTTGATTAGAATGACATTTGAAGCAGATGTTCTACTGAATCCACATGAACTAAAACAAAATATGCTATGCTCATCTGTGAGTTGAATCATTTCCAGCACCTCCTATAAAATTTTAGTTACCTTAATGGTATACGAAATAGTAATAAGCACGAAAAAGTTAAAACACAGAATTATGGCAGATCTCCATCAGCTGATGGCCATTTGCTGACTCATACAGTCCATGTCATGAAATTAGGTGTGTCAAGATCATTGTAAAATTGTACATCATCCACATCATTCTAGAGAAGCTGAACATTCTGCATGACTTCCCATTTCAACCTGCTGCAAAATTTTCATTTGCTAAATAATTATAAACTGTCACAATCAACAGTTAACCTTGCCATTTAATATTTTGGAGGTAATGGTTTCAAATACTGGCTGGAGACCAGTTTTCCTTACAAGTTTCTCAAGATTTTCCTCAGTCCCTACAGGCAGATGTTGGGATAGTACTTCAGATTAGGCCATAACTGCTTTCTTCCATGCCCTCTCCAATTCACTATTCATTAATCATCACTTCAGTAAGTGAAAGTGTCATCAAATAATCAAAGAATAAATAAAATGTTAAAAGATGAATCAGATATGTTGGAAGCAAATTTTTTAATCTTTCCAGATCCTATCAAAAATCCTTTCACTCGAAGGGGAAGAGGACCATTTGAGGGGCTAGAAACAAAGCCCTGGGGAAGATATTCAGACTTATGAGAGGTGAGGTAACAAAGAATTGGAAAAATTACATAAGGACAAAAACCAATATCAATAATATACATTTTCCTGGGTTTAGAGTTTCTCATTTCACTGATTTACCAATATTTAGTGAAGAATAATTCAACGTTTCAGTTCAGTATCATATGCAATTGAATAGAAGATGTTTCCTTCATATTTTCAGAACTGAAAAATGAAGGGTACTGAATGTGAGTGGGGAAAAAAATTCTGAGGTTTTTAAAATATTTTAAGCTTTTAGCAGGTAGCTGTTTCTAACATGAGTACACACTAACACTCAACCTACACTGCGTTGTCAGTGTAGCAGCTGTGACTGAAAAGTTTCATGGTCAGGAGTCACAAACTGTAATGAGTTTGCTCACAGAAACACTGAAGCTACGTAAGTGAAGCTGTAATTCCCCATTAACAGAAATTACAGCAAAGGTAATAATGTCAGTGCTCAGTTTTCTCAGATCATCATAATTAATAACACAAAATTCCCAAATACAGTTATGAAACCCATGACAATTCTTACAGCAGTTTTATTTACGTTATTGCATTCCATGTTTAGATTACTGGCAATCTGTGGTCATTATATGAACAAAAGATTTGGAGTAATTAATTTTAATTTGATCAAAGAGAAAGGGTTACTTAACTGTGCCACCCAGTGCTGTCAAGCAAACTCTGGCACGACTAACAAAAATTAAAACATATCTACACTATTTTGGGCTGTTTTAGACTTAAGTCACATACATATATTTACTTTTGTTAGAATAAAGCAAATATGTGTAATTAATAACAAACCATCATTTCTATTGGAATTATATATAACTCCCACTTAAGATTTCTCCTGATTTATGGTACAGAAATCTTGTCCCCAAAGTAAAACTTAAATAGGGGTTTTACTGTAATTTGTACACTTCAATTAATATTATTAAGGCTGAGATGGTTGGGTCATGAAGCACATAAGAACTAATTAACCCCATGAAGCCAAATCCTTCTTGAGAAGCCACTTTATGGAACTTGAAGGTTCATTATAGTGTTCACACATGCCCTCCACTAGTCCGTCCAAGTCCAAGGCCCTGTACAACATTTTGTAAGAAACTTATTTTTTACAGTTCCAGCCCCATGCCAAAACCCCAAGCTGGAGGACCATTACTTGTCAGCTGTATGTGACTGCTTATTGAATACATTCACAGCTGCCCTCCATCATATCTGGATACTGTCTCCTCCATCTGCAACCACAGGATGTGACATGCTGTGGTAATATGGGAATGTTCCACATATGAATAATAAATTTATACAAAATCACAATTTTGAAAGCCTGAAGAGAATGGACCATTCTGGAGACCTAGGCGTAGATAAAAGGATAATATTGAAATGGACTTTCCATAAACTGGACATGAAATTACAAACTCCACTGAACTAGCTCAAAACATGGCAGGCCTTTGTCAAGATGGTAATAAACCTCTGGATTCCATAAAAGCAGGAAATCTGTTGGGAAGCAGAGTACATATATAGTTTTCAAGAAAAATCCTGTAACACATAACTTACTTTATTACATGGATATATGTCTTAACACTTTGCGGACTGGCAATTTAAATATTTAAATCACTCTGCGGACCGGCATTTTTATACCTACTACCCTAACTTGTGCACTGTTCACTTTAAAAATTAATATAAAATCTCCTAATTAATTTTATGAACTAAATTTTTTGAGAACACTTACCAATGCTTCTAGAAGTACTTGAGGGTGTGATATTTCTCGAAACATTCCCCTCTGTGAAGTGGCATTACACAAAACTTGCAAATGTAGGCAGTCCTACTCCTTTTCTTGTGAATTGCGCAAACACCGCATTGCCTAGAAGGCTGCTTCCCCTTGAAATGTTCACTCTTCACAATTTTCGCGAGGGTATGTTTCTGCGTATCACCCAAGAGTCGCCCAGGGGGGTCAAAATGAGGCCTGCATGGGGTGGGAGTAGACGGCCCCAGTTGTACTAAGACTGTGTCTGCCGCCAGTTCTGCCACCATCGTGTGGTCTGTAGCCCAGGCTTTTGTCACATTCAGCAGAAATGCCTTGTATTTCAATTTTGAACGAGGGTTTAGATTTTTGAAAACCAA